CAAAAAAAATCTATACTTCAAATTGAAGAAGTTATTGATCGTAGATCAATTTGTGTTTGATGATGGTTGTAAATTAATTGATGTTTTAAGTTCCACTGTAATAAATGGGATTCGATGTGAAAATGTGTGAGAATATAAAATTCGGTCGTAAATAGTAGACGCGGCGCCCGGGATTCGAACTCGGGACCGCTGATCCACCGGGCAAGCGCGCTACCGCAGAGCCACCGCCGACTGATAAGAACTGATTGCCATACTACGTATATACGCTCGAGCGCTCAAAGCAAGACTTTCCGGAATTTTTTGGGGGGGTTTCTGGGGGGCGTTGGAAAAAACAAAAAAATACGGGTCAAATAAATTCATCCAAAGAGTTCGTATGAATTTTTTCAGCCCGATCGGAGGCGGCAGCTTGGGAAGTTCCCCTTGTGAGTTAAATTATAATATTTTGGAATAAATAGAACTGATATAGGAATAATTTGTAGTCGAAAGATATCAATCAGGAAAATTTGGTGCAAATGAGGATTAACTGGACTACGTTTTGAAATTAGAGACCACAATTTATGGCCAGTCTAGAAAGAACAGACATGTACCATCCCTGTATACATGGACATAAGTGTTTGTATGGATGAACCAGACACTGTAATCCCTAATTGCAAAATGAAGTCCAACTGGCCTTAAGAAGAATTAATCGTGATGAATCGGGTGAATGCAGGATGAATAGAGAATATCAGTGATAAATCGTCTTATATGAGAGAGGTTCAGAATTAATAGGAATAAATCGAGAAGTGTCATGTTGGAATATCAGGATTAATGAGAAAAAATCAGGATAAACAGGATAATTATACTTAGTCAGTGTTAAAAAAAGGCAAAGTGGGATTAAAAAAACCAACCGTGAACATTGGGAATGCACGTAGACAATATTTAATTGATGAGGATGAATTTTCATGTTTCAGAATGAATGTGTATGTTGTGTTGAATGATTTTTTGTATTTATTGCAAGTGTTTGCTGTTTTTGATTTCTTTGTTCTGCTGGTTATACATACAGGGTGATCCAAAAGTCCCTTCCACCCCCTCAAACTTTTTACCTAATTGAGGTAAAGATTTGAAACTTGGGGGATACTCCTAGATCAAAGGGAGGTACTTTTTGTCCCCCTCAAATGTTCAGGGGGGCCCCCCTTGGGGGGGCAACGGCCCCGAACTTTTAATTTTCAAATGGGAAGACCCCCTTTGTGATAGCTCGTTCGAAAGAGCATAAAAAAAGAAAACTTTTCGCGCAAACCCGAAGTCAATATCTCAAACCGTTTCAAAATGGCGGCCGGTTAAAGTTCAAAATGGCCGAAAATTCACGCCGGTTATTTGTCGATGGATTTGCGCGAAAATCGGCATGGAGGGGTATTTTGACACGAGAAAAACGAATTTGACGTTAGATTTTCAAAAAAACGAAAATTTCCAAAATGGCTGCCGGTTAAAGTTTAAAATGGCCGAAAATTTTCACCTCGGTTTATCCTGATGGATTTGCCTAAAACTTGGAATTTGAGAGTATTTTGGCATAAGATAAACAAATTTAAACTTAGATTTATAAAAAAATCAATTTTTTGGTCATTTTGAACTTTAACTGGCGGCCATTTTGGAAATTTCGGTTTTTTTAAAAAATCTAACGTCAAATTCGTTTTTCTCGTGTCAAAATACCCCTTCATACCGATTTTCGCGCAAATCCATCGACAAATAACCGGTGTGAATTTTCGGCCATTTTGAACTTTAACCGGCCGCCATTTTGAAACCGTTTGAGATTTTGACTTCGGGGTTGCGCGAAAAGTTTTCTTTTTTCATGCTCTTTTGAACGAGCTATCACAAAGGGGGTCTTCCCATTTGAAAATTAAAAGTTGGGGGCCGTTGCCCCCCCAAGGGGGGCCCCCCTGAAAATTTGAGGGGGACCAAAAATTAGCTCCCTTTGACCTAGGGATATCCCCCAAGTTTCAAATCCTTACCTCAATTAGATAAAAAGTTAGAGGGGGTGGAAGGGACTTTTGGATCACCCTGTATATTTCATGTACTAAGTATTAGTGCAGAACTTAGTGTGTTTAACCTGAGCATTGTATCTGATGTGTTCTTTGTACTTGTGTGTAGTGTACTTTATGTTCGTGGTTGTTTCATGCATTGCTTGTGTATCAAGTGTTTAGTGTATTGCTGTATTAGTCATGTTTGTTTTGTTTGTAGTAATGTGTCATTCTAGCTTCCTTTTTTTTCCTCTTCTTTTCTTTTCTTTTTTTTTTTTTTTTTTTTGGAGAAGTAATCAAACCATTCGATGAAGATGACAGAATGAGTTTGATGATATTTAATTGAATCCTTTTTAAATGTGTGATTTTAGGAGCCAATACAAGCACTGGTATTTTCGGTGGCTCAAGTGGTGGATCATTTTCAGTAGGATTAAATCAGTCCATGACTCAGTCTGGGTTTGGAACCCCAGGTTTTCAAAATAAACAAGGTTTGTAATTCTTTTAAGAATGTTGGAATGAGTAGATAAATCCAATAATTGGACTATCTTACCTTTGACTTAATCCTTGCATTAGCAGGGTGTCTACGGGTCCCCAATGTCCCCGAGATTCGCCGATTTTGGAAGGGTGTTCCCGATATTTTCGAAAGTCCCCTGTTTTCTTGTTCAGGTCCCCAATAAATGACAAAAATTGTCCTAGACACTTGCATTTTCAAATTTTCCCGCTTGCCGCGGCGGCGCAGTAGGTATCACCAGGAATATAAAAAACTGAAGTGTTGCTTGGTTTTTCGTATGTTTTCATCGGTTCAACAGGACCTGTAAAATTAGTTGTATAAAATACGCCTTTCAACGCTCTAACTAGCTTCCTTTCTCTTACTATTTCGGGGGAAAAAGTTCCCGATTTTCTTGAAAAAACTCCCCTAAAAGTCCCTGAAAGTCCCAAATTTTGGTTTTTCATTACTGGTAGACACCCTGATTAGTTTTGTTGTAAATAATAGTAATATTTTATTTAATATAGGCACCGCTTCCCCTCAGTCTTGATTTTGGCTCATGTCAAGATTTACAGATCGATTATTAAATTTTTATAAGTTATCTGGTATTACTAGGCATACAGGCTCGAAAAAGATCAAACTTGGTTCAATAATGGTTGAACTGATGTTTTTGGACTTTTAAGAGAAGGTACCTGAAGAACAACTTCATCAGCCACAGCATATATTATAACAACAACTTAAGACCCCTGCACCATCCTTATGGGACCCCCCCCCCCCCTGTCAAATCTGATGAAACATTGATCTGGGATACGATAAGACCACCCCGGCCGGAAACGATGAGCAAAGCCTCGTGAGCGTTGGAGTTCAAGCCTCGGGTATGGGTGGGGGAGAAGCGGAGAGGGGCCGTAATGGTTCGGAAGGGAAGGGTACGAGTAGTGCCGCACAATTGTACGACCGACGGGACCTCCGTTCGCGCATATGAAACGGCGAATATCTCGAAAACTGCACTCGGTATCTCTTTTGACCCGTGACAGCTTTTGATCAGAATGACTAGCTGAGTAATTTATCAAAGTTTCATCAGATTTGACCAGTAGTACGGTGCCTTAGTGAGAACACGCTGCAAATCGTGATTCAGTTTTGCCACTTTTAGAGGTCAAACTAGATGATATTTTAAGAGTTTTGAGTCGAAGAGGCATTTTCAAAATGGTGGCAGGTCCAAGATGGCGGCCATTCTAAATGGCGTCCGGGCGCCTACTTTGAGCCGCTATGGAGCGATATCGACTGGACCGATTTAATTATTCTTTATTTATTTAAAAGATAATTTAAAGGTAAATATAAAAAAAATTACAAAATTGTTGATTTTGACAATATGCAGGGTGTTTTTTCCACAAAAACCGGTTTCTGTGTATTGAAAAAAAAAAACTTTTAACCCATATAACTTTTAAAATCGTTTAATTTATGCCACTTTAAATATGTATCACGTTGAAGAGCGTGTTTCCAGCTTTCCAACGATATATTACATGATGGGTCTATGATTTAAGGTTTCCACGACACTACGATACGCGCGGCGGCGGCACAGCGCGAGCCAGCATAAATTAGTCCAGAGGCATATGTTGAAAAGAAGCCTCCCGTGGAATAGTAAATGGAGTAAGCGTGGAAAATGGACCAATCTCTTCTTTTCGATGTGTAGAAAAATAATTTTGATATTTTCAAGCTCAATTTTGCGTCCCACCCATCCAATTCAAGATGGCGGCAAAAATGGGGGCTCGGGGGTTGAAGATGTTGGAGTTTGTTTTTGATGTCGTGTATGGGGTCTACCACTTAGTAATTTTGGTCGTAGAATCCGAATTTGAGGCCCAAAACTGTCTCCGGCTCAACGGGATGCCAAAAATTCAATATGGCTCCCAAAATTTCCACAATGGGGTCAAATCTCCGAGAGTTGCATACAAGTGCCAAGTAGGATATCTTTCATAGGGTTTTGTGGGTCGTAGATGTCACCGGTATGGTCAGAATTTCACAACAGGTTTATTGAAGCCTAAAAATTTCAATATGGCGGCCAAATGGCCGCCGTTGCGGGTTAAAATATTTTGTTGAGGCTCGTATCGCCATCTTGAATTGGATGGGTGGGACGCAAAATTGAGCTTGAAAATATCAAAATTATTTTTCTACACATCGAAAAGAAGAGATTGGTCCATTTTCCACACTTTCTCCATTTACTATTCCACGGGAGGCTTCTTTTCAACATATGCCTCTGGACTAATTTATGCAGGCTCGCGCTGTGCCGCCGCCGCGCGTATCGTAGTGTCGTGGAAACCTTAAATCATAGACCCATCATGTAATATATCGTTGGAAAGCTGGAAACACGCTCTTCAACGTGATACATATTTAAAGTGGCATAAATTAAACGATTTTAAAAGTTATATGGGTTAAAAGATTTTTTTTTCAATACACAGAAACCGGTTTTTGTGGAAAAAACACCCTGCATATTGTCAAAATCAACAATTTTGTAATTTTTTTTATATCTACCTTTAAATTATCTTTTAAATAAATAAAGAATAATTAAATCGGTCCAGTCGATATCGATCCATAGCGGCTCAAAGTAGGCGCCCGGACGCCATTTAGAATTGCCGCCATCTTGGACCTGCCACCATTTTGAAAATGCCTCTTCGACTCAAAACTCTTAAAATATCATCTGGTTTGACCTCTAAAAGTGGCAAAACTGAATCACGATTTGCAGCGTGTTCGCACTAAGGCACCGTACTACTGGTCAAATCTGATGAAACTTTGATAAATTACTCAGCTAGTCATTCTGATCAAAAGCTGTCACGGGTCGAAAGAGATACCGAGTGCAGTTTTCGAGATATTCGCCGTGATATTGGTCTTATCGTATCCCAGATCAATGTTACATCAGATTTGACAGGGGGGGGGGGGGCCCATANGGGGGGTCCCATAAGGATGGTGCAGGGGTCTTAAGTTGTTGTTTTAATATATGCTGTGGCTGATGAAGTTGTTCTTCAGGTACCTTCTCTTAAAAGTCCAAAAACATCAGTTCAACCATTATTGAACCAAGTTTGATCTTTTTCGAGCCTGTGTGCCTAGTAATACCAGATAACTTGTAAAAATGTAATAATACATCTTTAAAGTGGCATAAATCAAAAGATTTTAAAAGTTATATGGGTTAAAAGTTTTTTTTTCAATACACAGAAACCGGTTTTTGTGGAAAAAACACCCTGCATATTGTCAAAATCAACAATTTTGTAATTTTTTTTATATTTACCTTTAAATCATCTTTTAAATAAATAAAGAATAATTAAATCGGTCCAGTCGATATCGATCCATAGCGGCTCAAAGTAGGCACCCGGACGCCATTTTGAATGGCCGCCATCTTGGACCTGCCACCATTTTGAAAATGCCTGTACGATCAAAACTCTTAAAATATCATCTGTTTCAGAACTGAATCACGATTCGCAGCATTTTGCCCTTTTTTTGGCACTAAGCCAACGTGCTACAGGGGGAGGGACGGGGGTTGGGGGGATTTCCCATAAGGATGATGTGGGGTGCGCTGCACAAAAACTGCAAACAAAACATAGGATAAATTAAAAAACTCGAAACGTTTAAAAATGGATTAAAGTTTCATTATCAACTGGAAAAAAATAAATAAATTATAAAAGTTTGTTTCGTAGAATTGTCGAAGGACCAATGAAAATTTCGACTTAAGCGGATTTTCGTCTTAAGCGTCGTTCAAAAAAGGGGGATGCCAATAAAGCTGGCGGTGATTACGACATAGTTACTTCGAAAAAAATATATATTTTTGCTTTGCTTCCAATTGAGGGGACAGTTAAAAAGGACCAGAGTCCTCTCCACTGTGTCCAAAAATGGGCACTTGGAGACGCATTGACTTTAACTTTTTAAACTCCTGGATCCCTAGCCCGTGGTGCTTTCTTAGTATTAATCGTCGCAGACATTCACTCCATTTTGGAAGGGCTTGAGCTTTTGGTATTGCTGGACCGAGACTTTTTTTTCTTGTATTGAAGACGTGCTGATTTTAACTTTTATTTTAAAAACTATTTAAACCCCTGCATCCCAAGCTCGTTTTGCCTTCCTTGTATTAAACGACGCTAATGTTCACCCCATTCCTTGGATCCAATGAGCTTGTGTAAATAACTTTTCAACAAAGAAAAATGACTAAAATGACTCCCGGACGAGATGAGGTAAACATGAGGTAAACCAATACCCCCTAGACTGACCATCCCTACACATTTGTTTTGAGGTTAAAATACATCTGGTTGTAACGTTTTACACGGCTCTTATGGGGAAAACCTGAAAAAAGCTATTTTTCACTCCTTTAAGTAAAATTTGATGGGGGAAGAATTTTTTCCCTTAAACTTCAAGTATGAAGGCCTTGAATGCATTTAACTTCGGCGGCTGAATCTGTTTCTGGGTGGGAAAAAAAAAATTTAATAGTGGAAGTACATACTACATAGGGACTGCATCCGTCAACGGAATGGAGAGGAGGGGAGGGGGATGTGGTTATCCACTTGAATGTTTTAAATTCTCTGCCAGGAAAGTGATTCAGTGGCAAATTTTTGGTATTTATGTTCCACGAATGTTATACTTCCAAGAAAAGATCACTTAAGGTCACCAGTCATCTCATGTTACTCTTAATTTCACTTATTCACCTCGTCCCATAAGGTCCTGTGTAAAAACTCACAACCTGATGCACTCACACACTCACAGATGAGTTCCCAATGTTTAGGTATGGTCAGTCTAGGTGGTATTGGGTAAACCTTCAGTAGATTGAGGCGCTGATTCCGGATGTGACCTCCGTTTTTATCCATCATCATCCAATTTTCCGGAAAAGCTTATTCTACTCGAGAAAATGGCCAAGTTTGGTGTTTTTGCAACTGTTACCCCCTGCAGAATGTAGATACAATTTTTCTCAGAAACAAGATAGGGCTAATCTGATGTATTTGAGCCGCTGAGTTCGAAAATGACCTTCAT